AAGGTATCAGTGAGACTGCGACCACGGAAACTGATTCCCGGCAACAAAAACACCCAACAAACTCTAAAACCTCACAAAGGCCAGCCAACTAAAAACATATTTCCCACACCCGGGACGCCAAAAGCAGAACAAACACACATGAAAACATATTACACCACCGCTGTGGACACTGCTGGATTGGAGAGCAGTTTTGTGGATTGGAGAGCCATTAGGGGCCCACCGCAAATGGCCTTTTAAGGTTGAGTGTATTTACAGAGAGCTGGGGAGGGGAAGCAAACACGCTCCTCGTTGGTGACCAAAAGCTGAGGAAGGAAAACTGACCGAGACGCACGTTTGAGCCTCAGAGCTGCCCACGCACTGAGAGTATCAGCACAGGGGATACAGGTCACATGACTTCCAAAGTTCATCATCCTCAGCAGGCAAAGTCTGATGATGATAATGATGATGAGGCAGACATCGCAAGAAGCAAATCCTCTCACATTTCTGATTGGGTAATCAGCTCTCAGATGTAGCTAATCACTTGACCTCCAACAAGTGATTAGCCTTATAAGTTTGATTGGTGAAAGGAGTGAAAGAATTAGGGTAAATGCATTTGCATTCAGCCTCAGCGCGACCAGCATGATGAACTCTTTGGCCTGGAAAACGAACACTTCGCTGTACCCAGAAAACACCATCCCCACTGTGAGACACGGTGGAGGCAGCGTTATCCTGTGGTGATGTTTTTCTTCTGTGGGGACACAGAAGCTCTTCAAAGCTCCTTGGCAAATGGATGAAGATAAAAATAGGGCAACGCTGAAAGAAATTTTGTTAGAAGCTGCACAGATTTGAATCTGGAGCTTCCAGCAGGTCGGTGACCCTCTAACACACAACAAGAGCAACAAGGGAACAGCTTTCATCAGATCATATCCATGTGGTACAATGGTTCAGTCAGCATAGGCCTAAATCCCACTGGGAATCTGTGGCAACACTTGAAAATAGTCATTTACAGATGCTCTTCATTCAATTGTTCGTTCAGCTTAAGACGTTTTGCAGAGAATAATAGGCAAAAATGTAGGTATTTACATTTGCAGAGCTGGGATGAGACATATAACGACATGCTGTTCTACAAAGTGTTGACACAGACTCAGATCAGGTTTCATTACAAGTTTGGAAAACATCTTTTTCCTTCCACTTCACAATCAAGTGCTTTTGCTGGTCTGTCTCATGAAATCCCATTAAAATACATTCAAGTTTGCAGCTACAATGTGATCAAATCTGGAAACATTCAACACTTTCGTAGGGTGCTTCATGTCTGGAATTTAATTACTTCTTATGCACATTTTAGCCTTTATTTCCTCTTGGTGAAAAGAAAAAAGGCTAAAAAGGATTAAAAAAAAAAAAAGAGTTCCTCAAACAGACAGATTAAGATTTAAGGATTCACTCAAATACAATAAACACAAAATAAGGGTAATCTGACCTGATTTGAGCAATGACGGGATACTTTACTCCACACCAGAAACTGAAAAGCAGCTGAGAGAGAATCTCAGAAGGAGAGGGTAAAAGCCTTGGATACCTGGAGGGAGCAGCAGACCAGCAGCACGTGGCTTCATGAGGGAGTCTCTGCGAAGAAGGACATGTGCCAAAGACACAGAGAGCTGAGGCTCTCACAGAAACAGAGAGCAAGGTCCAAAAGCTGCTGATAAGTACGCGAAGGTTACATCCTGGAGCCAGAATAATTCCTCTCCACTCAACCAGACACCAGCAAATCAAAACCAAAGCACACTGACATGTTATCACCCATGCATCAATCCATTCATTCAGTTTTCTAATACCCTTGTCCCTGGTGGGGTAAGGAGGGGTGCTGGTGCTTATCTCCAGCTAACAGAGGCAGGGCACACCCTGGACAGGTCACCAGTCTGTTGCAGTGATGTTACTATTATCCCTTTATTTCCTACATGGCAGCTCAGCTGTGACAGATGGACCTGAGGCAGCAGCACAACACCTGGCTATCCCAGTCCAACAAATCTGCACATCTCAAGTCTTTCGCCTTGAAAAGCAACGCGAATCCAAACCCAATCCCTATAACTCTTAGCAACACATGCAGAAACCAATCAAACATGTGTGCAGTGGCACCGCAAGTTAATAAATGATGGGCTAAATGGAGCCAGTGTTGTACTCTCACTGTCCTCTATCAGCTTCTCCCGTTTGGATCAATTTGGGGGGGAGGTCAAATATGTCAAATCACAGGCCGCTGTGTAGAGGAAGACTCACCTTGTGCCAGGAGGACCAGTCCTGCTGATGTCCTGGAGGCTGGGGGGTCAGCAGCCTGGCTCCAACAGAGGTGAAGTCCTGGTTCTGTTCAGTAATGGGAGCCAGCTTGAGATATCATTGTTCCTCCTCGGTGCTACAGTCAATAATAAGCCCCCCGCCCCCCTCTCATCCCCTCCTCCTCCTCTCTTTCTGCCTTTGTGCTGCTTTGTGCTGCTTTGTGCTGCTGTTTCCTCTTGTTTTGACTCTGCTCACAGCCGCTCCTCTCCTCTGCCCTGCTCATGATGCACTTGTGGCTTTTATTTGCACTTCTGCTTTTCTGACGCGCGAGCAGGAGGAAGACTGAGACGCTGCGTCTTCTCGTCAGTGAGTTTCGGTCGGGCGTCAAAAAGGCCTGCGACGAGATCAGTACTGATTAATGACAAGCGTTTTGATTCAAGTCGATCAGGAAACTTATTATTGACGAAAAGCCGTGCGACGTCCTGCGTCACGTGAACGACTGATACACCCAGTCCCGTTAATAATGACGTCCTGAGATTTAAAACTAACAAACATTAAAAAAAAAAAAAAAAAGATTTAAGAAACTGTTGTTTTAAAGCAGACATCTTATAAATGACTTTAGAGAGATAATGGCCCTAATATCAGCTATAATTATGCTAAATACTGGACAGTAGGCCCATACCTGAATACAAGCCTAGAAATATATATAGTTTAATCTGGGTTCATAAAAATAACACAGTTCAAAAGTCACGTTTTTTTCACCCACTGAACAAAACAGTGAGTTTTATGACGTAGCCAAAGTGGCGTCATGTTTTACTCAAACTTTTCCCTGTTACAGCAGCGAGACCAAAATAGTTGCTGTGCTATGGCGCCCTCTGGTGGCTGCAAAGTGAAGCCGAATAACTTGGATGCTGCGTCGAGGTCATCAAGTCTTCAACTCCAGACCTGCAGTTTTTAGATGTGCCACAAGCACAAAACGCTGGAATGAAATGGCTTAATTACTTTCTCTTTGTGTAGATCAGTTCTCCAGAGCCTTAATGACCTAATTATTCTGTTCAGGTGTGGTGCAGCAGAGGCTCATCTAAAGGTTGCAGGACACCGGCCCTCAAGGACTGGAGTTTGAGACCCCTGGTCTAGGTGTTTTGTAGATACAGAATATTTATTTTATTTTCTAACACAGCATGGTGTTCGCTGCCTTTAGCTTATATGGCTAATAACAGCTCATTTTTGTTGTTGGATGTTAGTGGTTTTGAATCCAAACATAGAGAATGGCTATGTTGGGTTTGACGTTATTCTCCAAAACTTCAGAGGGAAATAGAAAACAGGAAAAATCTTCCTGGGGCATGACTTCAGTTAATGCTGGGAGTTTGCCAATATTTTCCAACTTCACTCTTGAGAACCTTTGAAGCAAAAATCAAGACTCAAATAGACGAAAACATGAGCTGAAGCAGTTCCTCTTTGGTGATAATGTGTTCACAATAGTATGCAGTAGGACTAAGTGACAGAAATTTTGCTGCGACATCTGCAGCTCCATTTTTTTCCTCAATAAATAAGAGCACCCGCCCTCTTCCTTACCTGTAACTGATCTGAGGATGTGCTCATGTCTCGCTTGAATGGCAGCTTTAATCACTGTAATCAAATCCAATGAAGAGATAGCAGCCACTTTGTCTTCTCAATTGGGGTTGATTCGTCTTTAAAGGGCTCTAGATGTGTCCTTAAAGACCTTTAATAAGTTTTATTTATGGCTGGTGATTAATGCGTGTGGATGAGTCAGGTAACCTGTGATCAAAGCTGGGACACCAGAGGGCCTTCGTGGTCACCTTCTCTGGGATTCTCAAACCGCCGACTTTCTCACTCTTTGCCGTTTGATTGAGACACGTCTCTTGTCACTCATGAACGCATGTGGACAAACTTCTCACACATGGCTCCTTTCACAGCTTTTGTCCTCCTCTCTGCTCTCGGCCATTCCTTCCCCCTGGTTACTGGTCGTCATGGTTTCTGGATCCCCTACAGGCTCAAAAAAGGGAAGAAGAAGAAGAAAGAAAAAAAAAAGCCACTACGGAGGGGGTTGGCGGATTAAAGGCGGCCATTTTGGGGACAGCTGGACCAGGTTGGTCCCTGTTGCCCCCTGTCCCGTTTCCAGTCACTTTTTTTTTTTTTTTTTTTTTTGATGGGGGAGCGGGGGAGGCATTGTGAGAGGATTAGAGCTTCCTGTGTGTCAGCTCATTACATGGGGTGGGGAAGGAGGGGATGAGAGGGTGAATGCAGAGAGCGATGGAGGGAAATGAAAGAGAAAATGAAAGAGACTGCGTATGAAAGAGAGAATGACACGGGGAGCGGGAGGGAGGGAGGTGGCTGCCTCTCCAGCTGCACCCTCAATAACACTCATACAGGCTCTGATTATTCTTTTCACACACACACACATACACACAGTGCTGGGGAACTGAAACATATTATAAGACATTGAGGGCTTAAAAGACAGAATTAGGAGACAGCCAGCCCAGCTCCTCAAACAAAGGAGACCCCCTCAACCAGCCTCCCTCCTCCAATCCCGACACACAGAGAACTGGAACAAACAAGAGAAAACTGACCAACAGGGTGCATACAGGCTCACCGAGAACAAGAGTCATGCAGCCAGAATGCTTAAACAGATAAACGAATTCACAGAGACAGAGGCTTACACAGGAACATACACACACACACACACACAAAAAGCAACAAACCAGTCTCCACTTCATATTGCCATTGTTTTATTTACTTTTTTTTTTTTTAACATCACATGGGAAGCGTGGGAACACATTCTGTCATTGCTACAAGAAACAGAGAAGGGGATTTGGGGGGCAGCAGGGAGAAGGCAACGCATACAAATACTAAACTGAGCAAAGCAGAGAATCCAGTGAGTGCATGCGATTCGCGAAGCAGTGAAGCACCCTCAAGTGCGCTGAGAGAGAGCAGCGGATCGGGTGGAGGGGAGCAGGAAGAGGATGGGGGCTCGTCCTTGCTGGAGGTTTCGGAACTGCAGATAGCACCACAAAAAAATAAAAAATAAAGAGAGAACAAAACGGGGAAGACATTCACCATCATCAGAAAGGTTTTACTGTAACCACCCGGAGTTGATAATACAATCATCATAGTTACAGTCATTGCAGGGGTGAGTTTGTTCAGCAGATGTTTCGGCAGCGTGGGACACAGTGCAACTCACAGTGCAACTCAGTACATAAGAAAACACTCATTAAGCAGCATTGAAACAAACGAAAGAAAACAGTAGCGATAAAAAAAAAAAGGCAACCGCAGTTTTTATGTACAGTTCAGTGGCCATTTTAAACATGGCCTGTTTTGGTATGAAATTTCTGGACACTCCTTTTAAAAACAAACAAAAAAAGAAAAAAATCAAAGTACACTTCTTGTAGGAAAGATATGATACAGTTCATGCTAAAATGTGTCAGCAAAGTACAAGTGGACAATGCGTTGAAGGGCGTAGGATAAGGCCTCACTGTGGTCTTTGAAGTACAAAAATAGACAGCAGAAATACTACATTCAACTTTTTTTTTTTGTCATAGTACTAAAAATAAACTATACCTATTTTTTTTTTTCAAATACTAATTATGAGTTAGAATTACAGACTCTACAAAACAATTCTCATTCTATTAAAAATACATTCCCTTTGTCAGGATCTACTGAAACACATCCTATGTTGTAGTGTCCAAGGTGAAAGTGGTCACATCAGAGCCACCACTGGTTGGGAGCAGATCTGTGCTGTCACCTTTCTCAGGGGCCAGTCCCTGCTTTTCCTCCTGCTGTGTGGAGATTTTATTTGAAGTACCGCGCTCCTCTGAAGGGTCACTTTCATTGGTTTGAGCCTTGCTAGGGGTAGTCGTCAACACTCCAGGATGCGTTTTCATGTGACCCTGTTGATGAGAAGAAACACAACAACGAGTTACCAATAGGTTTGAATGTGTTACTTTAAAGACATTTTAGCAAATGTTTATTTGTTTGACTTTACCTTAAGTCCACTTCGGCTGGCATACGCCTTTCCACAGTGGGAGCAGCTGTAGGGCTTGTCGGGTCGAGCAGGTTGGGCATGTGGTGTTGATGCCCCTGCAGGAGTCTCTGGGTTATCCGGCAGCTTTTTTAGGGCAGCTGAATCCTCCTTCACTGGTGCTTCTTTACCCGGTTCTGGCTCAGACATGGAAAGAGACTCTCTGGATGAGGTAGCGTCGCTTTTCCCTTTACCACTGGAAGTGTTTCTCCCTCGCAGCTCCTGTTTAACACCACTACCCGTCTCCTCTGCCTCTAGGGTAGCCCCAGGGCTGGTGGGCGGAGAAAGTGAAGGTACAGGATCCGCAGATGGGGCGTCTGCAGTATGACTGGGACTCTGTGTATGCTCATTTGGGGAATGTTGTACATCACTGCTAACTAGTCTAGTTGTGGTATGATCAACACCAGGCTTTGAAACACAAAGGGAGAGAGGAGTATCATCAGAAACAGATTCTACCTTGTCTACAACTGAATGAGAGCTAGGTAAGGGTGCTTTGAAAGGACTGGCAGAACCCAGATCAGTCTGGGTTTTCTCCTCTGTGGGGCTTTCAGCTGAGGCAATTACTGCAAGCTGCAGAGTTTTATCAGCTCCTGCTGAGGGGGGATTACAGCTTAAAGGTGGACTAACACTTGGAATTGAACGCTCAGATTCCTCATTCTTGACAGAATCTGAATCAGTGGCTTTGGACTGCTTAAAACTGGATCCTGAGCTGAGAGCATCCACTGGGGACTTGGACCCTGTTGTTAAGGCAAGTGGAAGGATTTGCACTTTTGATAGGGAGCTAATAGGCTCGCCGTGACTGTCTTTAAAGGTAGCGCCTTCTGCTTCTGCTCCATCGTCAGGAGGAATCTCCTCATCAGGTGGTATTTGCCCTCCAAGGTGCAAACGAATGTGGTGTTGTAGAACTAAGGCATTAGTGAACTTGCGAGGACAGAGTGGGCAAGAATTCAGGGCACGAGCATTTGGGGGCCTGGCACGATGAGTGGCCAGGTGTGCCCTAAGGCTGCCCTTTGTGGAGAAAGAACGGCCGCAAAGCTTACAAGGAAAGGGGCGCTCTCCCAGATGTGTGGCCTGGTGCAACCGAAGAGCTCTGGGGCAGCTGAGAACACGCATACACACTCCACACTGATTAGCAACTGGGGCTGTGGGCAGGGCTGAAGTGATAGTTGTAGGACCTGAACCGGAGACTCCCTGACCAGTCACTGCAGCACTGACGCTAGGGCTCAGTCCGAGAGCAGCCAACATCTCTCTGCGATAGGCACTTGAGGTGGTAGTCAGGTCACGTACATTTGTGTCACCATTAACATCAGCAGAGGTTTGTGAGGAGGTGGAAGGAGAGGAGGCAGAAAGGCAGGAGGAGGCGCCGCCTTGTGGCTGCTTTTCTAGCTTCTGCACCAGCCGCTGCAACTTGGAAGTGTCTGAGGTCTGGGTGGAGGTGGTGGGAGAGGAGGAGGACGAGGGGGAAGAGGTGGGCGGTTTTGGGAAAGGAGGGAATGGGAATGGTAGCTGATGAGATAAGGAGAGGTGGGAAGTGGATGGGTGACCTGGAGGCCTGAGAAGTGCAAGGTGGTGGGGGGATGCACCTCCTGGAAAAAGTATCTTGGGGAGGTGGGCAAGTTGGGAGTATGGGGAAGTTGTGTGAAGAGCAGAGTGAGGAGGAGTGTTTTCATCAAATCGTTGTTGTTTAGCTCCTTTATACTGACTAGAAGTCGAAGAGGAAGATGGAGATGAAGAAGGGAGAGCAGTGCTAGATGTGCTAGAAACAGCTACTGATGCTCTGTTTAACTGTAACAGTGAATGGGCTGTGGACAGAAGAGCCATGTCCACTGAGGGAGGCAGAGGTAGAGAGGAAGGTGAGGGCCTAGTCGAACCACCAGACAGTAATCCTAAAGCCATGCTCTCTGTTATACTGGGAACACTTCCTTTCACTCCGTTATATGCTTCGTCATCATCAACTCGCCGTTTTCTTCTCCTTTGAACTGAACCCGGGGCTGATCCACCCTGTGTTTGCTCTGACAGCGCAGGGGGTAGCAGCGAAAGGGACAGCTCTGGGTTCTGCTCTCTGTGTCTCAGGAAATGGGCCTTGAGGTTTCCTCTGGTTGTAAAACGGCTCAGGCACACCGGACACTGATAGGGCCTTTCACCTGTATGTGACCTCAGATGAATCTGGAGGGAGGAATCACTGCTCAAGACTTTCCCACAGAACCTGCAGACATGTTGAGGCCGTCCTGACGAGGAGGCAGAGATAAGAGATGAGCTTGACTGAATGTCCTGTGAGTGGCTGGTCGTGGGAAGGGAAGGAGTCTGGAAACTGATGTTATTGCTGTGACCAAACGAAGAGGTGTTGGATGATTTCTCATGGAGGTAGCGTGGTGACAGGCCCAGGGACAAGGACAGAGGGTGCAGGGAGGCAACAGATGAATTGATGCTGGAAGAAATAGCTAAGGAAGAGGATGATGAAAATGAGCTAGAAGTTGAGGAGGATTGGGGTCTATCTCCATTGATTAGTGAAGTACCTGATTTGGAGATGGCTGGCGGAGGAAAGAGGGAAGAAGGAAGTCCACTCAACAGGGATGAAGCTGTGGATACTGGAGTATTGGTTGAAGGATGTGTAGGTGATGAAGATGCTGTTCCAGTGGACTTCTGGTTGCAGTCTGCACCGCTAGCTTGTGCATTATCATGGCCAAAGACGGCTCCTCCGAGCCTGAGGACGTGCCGACAGATCTCTTCTGTGATCTGCATCTGGTGAATTTGTCGCTGCTGCAGGACTCGCAGTTCTTCTAAAAGCACCGCCAGGGTTGGGGGCACCTGGATCTGCCCCTGCTCCCCTGATGAGGTGGAAGACTGCTGCTGGCCTGGACTGGAGCTGTCTGGTTGAGGTTGCTGGGAGGAGGAGGAAGAAGAAGACGAGGAAGAGGTAGTAGTGGCGGCAGAGCTGCCCATTGGGGGAGAGGTCATGATGGAGAGAGTGTTAACTTGGTGGTTCAGGCTGTGGCCACCAGAGGATTGATCCAGGGGAGGAGGTGAGTGTGCCTGGGAAGACAACGAAGGGTGAGGAAAGTCAGGGGAGAGGGAGGAGTGGGTGTTGGGGAGGGAGGTGGTAAAGGGAGCAATGTGACTGGGCCAGTGGGGAGGAGGTGAGCTCTCACTGGGCAAGGAAGGCGCGTGGAGCCCTCCAGGAGACGGGCGAGTGGCCAGGGGCGGCTGGCAGTCTTGCAGTGAGGTGGGGGAGGAGGAGGAAGAACCTGACGAAGTTAGGTCAGATCCCAGAGATGTGGATGGTGACTTTAAGCTCAGGTGGTCATCTGAAGATCGATTAGAAAGAAACAACACTTATTAAAAACCAGAAAATGGGGAAAAAGGAACAACCGTGTAAAACTCTGTTCCAAATATCAACTCACGTATCCAGTCACGTTCCATGACTGTTTATCTCAGCGACTTTAGTTATTGTTTACAAAATGTAGTTTGCAAACTTGCCTACACACCACAAGATGCAGTTTCAGCTTCAAAAGAAAACGCTCGCCTGGAAATGACCTCCAACAAGCAAATAAACAAGTGGAAGAAACTCACAGTCCGCCGGTCTTTGAAATGTCTTGTCTCAATCTGTGCTCCCTGGAGCAAAACTCTTCAAACATCTTGTGCACACAAAAAAAGCTCACACACCACCTTGTTGCTATGGCAGCACATTTTAAAGGACAATGGACATCACCTAGACAACCCATAACCCCTCTTAACCCAGCCCCCCTCCCTGCGGCAGTTACGTCTTTCATCTCCTCATTCACCCTCCCCCCTTACGTCACAGTGGAGGTCGAGGGTCAGGCCATGCTAAGGGTTCTGGGTACTGTCCACATGCTCTGATTGGTCAACTAATCTGACCTCTGCCGCCCCGGGGTCAAATTCTTTCAGAATCTTGAGCACAGAGTGAGAAAGAGTAAAAAGGAAGAAAAAAAAAAGAAGGGGGAGGGTAACAACAAAGGAGAGACAAACTAACTACTCCCTCCTGGAGAGGTATAGTGATGGAATGAAAGACTGTACCTCGCAGAAATTCCCTCCTCGCTATTTAGAAACAAACCTGCACCTGCAGGAAACCTATCACAAAACTATAAAACTGAACTTGCACTTCTGATTTCGAAAATGTTTTATCTGCAAAGCATTGTGCGCGCACGCTGCGTGAGGGACGTCCTAAATTAACTTGGCAATAAAGCGTGAAACCTTTTCTTATCCATCTCAACCCCCCCCCCCCCCCCCCCAGCTGTGCAGAAGTATACAGTCAATAGAGCAGGGAAAGAAAAGGGGAGGGGAGGAGGCATTGTGAGGGTTGAAAATGGGAAAAGAGGGGTGCATGAGGAAGAAAAGTATGGATGGATTGCAAAGACTGAAGACAATTCAGGAGTGGAAGATTAATCTTTACCTCAAAAAAAAAAAAAAAAGAAAGAAAGAAAAAAGCACTGCCTTCCCTTCCCCCTGACCACGCAGGTTATTGTGAGTGCTTCATGCTAATAAAAGAGCTCCAGCAGTCAGCCTGAAGCAGCCTGTTAGTTTCCTAAAGGATGGGCAGCTCCTGAAAATGACCACAGATGTATGTCGGCTAATCCTGCTCCATTCACTTCACAGAGAGGAAATTTGTAATCATCCACCCAAGTGACTCTGGCTTCTTTTAGAGGGAACGGATGCACGAAACAATTAGATAGACAGCCTGCCTCATTTAAACCTAAGTCGCAGGTGAGAACTTTTCTCGGTCCATCAACTCAGATGCATTGTTTGTAATATGATCAACACCGGTGCGCGTCAGTTTCCCTCTAGTTTTGTTGCCATCTCTAAAGGAGAATTGCTCTTCCAGCTTCACTCTTTCTGAATTAAAACAACATTTGAACGACAAAACCAAGATAAAGGTTAGCCTCTCACCTTGCAGCAACTTCGGGCCCCCCGGATCTGAACTGACGAGTTGCTGGGGTCTCTTCTGTTTCCGGCGTGACATGATTCACGGCGAGTCAGACAGAGAGGGGGGCATCAGTCGCTCGAATGGCACCAGACGCTTTTTTTTCCCCCTTCTTCTTCTTCCCCCTTTTGCGCACTTGAACGAACTCCTGCGCGCATTCAATCTCCCAAACGAGCACAGTTGAAGTAAAACCTCAAAGGAGAAATCTCTGCAGCGCCGGATTTCATAGAAGAAAGTTAAAGACAACAACAACAAAAAAGAGTTGCTGTATGGAAATCCGCCTGGCCGCACCGTGTCATTTGGAGCTGCGGTGTGTGTGTGGCTGTTTTCTAAAATCCCTTCTCTCTCTCTCTCTTCAAAAAGAAAAAGAAAAAAAAAACTTGTCCAATTTGCGCCCCTCCTCTCCCACTGCTGCTCCGCTGCACGCACACACACACACACACACACACACACACACACACACACACACACACACACACACACACACACACACACACTGAACCACTCCTTGTTCTATGATATTTGCATTTCAATAGCGTGTAACTCACAACCTCCCTAGGTTCTCTCTTCCCTTCCCTCTCAGCTTCATTTATTTATTTATTATTGGATTTTTTTTCTATAAACTATAAATAAAAAGTGACAATAGGCGTTAAGGCTTCTGGACGTCCTTAAAGAAAAAAAAAAATCTTAAGAGGACATAAGTGCTGACTTTTTAACCAGGGGGGCGCTGTGATCACTCCATGATGGTGACGATCTAATATTTGATCAAACTATAAGTAAAGAGTGAAACGAATCTAACAGGTCCAAGTTTATTAAAGAAAGTGAATCTCGTTGTGAGCATGGCAGGTTTGCCTCATCACCTGATCTCTATAAAACTCTGCCTTGGCAGCGCCGTCAATATTCCTAACCTTTGGATTTCCATAGGGCCAATTATCAACAGCGGCGCTGTGCGCAAAGTGGGGCCATTCCACATCCACGTATGTAGTTCGTGTGTTATCAACGAGCTCATAATACAAACCCCCACCACCAACACCACTAACACAACCCCTTCAACAAAAAAAAAAAAGCCCGCATCTTACACTGGAGCTCTATTTAAAAGGAAGAGAATAGACGGGGAATCATCGACAATGGCGCGCTGGACACAGTTGAGTGAGCATCTCCCCTCTCTCACTATGAACCCCCGGATCCACTGCTGCACAGCACAATGCCCCTCTTTCACCCCCTGCCTTTACTCCTGTACCACGTGGAGGGATGGATGAAAAAGCTACAGAGGGGGGGAGAAAGAGAGAGAGAGAGAGAGGAGGTGCCATGTTTAAGTAACATTTAAAACACGCGGAGCAGCTATTACAGTTTAACCTGCTCTTTATTCTTCAGAACACGGCTGCTGATTTATCGATGTCATTCAGCTCCAAAAGGGAAATCCCTCCTAATTATCACCAGATACAGCATATGAGAGAAACAACAGGTCTTTCTATTAAACCAGACTAAACCTTTCATGTTTAGGTCTATTTTTTTCCCCCCCTGAATGCCATCAAAAGAGAGATTGTTATTTCTCTTCAAAGATTACAATTTGGGAGACTGTAGACAATTATCCGAGCTGATCACAATCAGTTGAGTTCATTTGGAGACAGGTATATGGATCTTGCATCGAAACACGTTGCTGCTGTGAGCGACATCATGGAAAATCAAACTAAATCAGGCTATTTATCAAGAAGAGGACTGTGAACCTCAGTGAGTTTTGTGACACTTTCCAGCATTTTGAACAATTGTGTGAATAAACGTCATGGGAATGTTCAGCCATTGTACCGTTCGCCAAGAAGACAGAATCCGCGCCCCAGACATGAACGGATTTTGGTGCAAAATGTGAAAATCAACCCCAGGACAAAAGCAAAAGACCTTGTGACGAATTTGGATGAAGCTGGTAAGAAACTGTCATTATCCACTCAGAGACGAAGAGGCCAAAGCAACATAGAAAAGTCTAACTAACTAACTAACTAACTAACTAACTAACTAACTAACTAACTAACTAACTAACTAACTAACTAACTAACTAACTAACTTTCTTATATATTTATAGTTTAAACGTCTTGATTGAGAGCAAAATTGTAACAATTTGAAATGCCCTGTGAGTGTACACAAACTTGTCAAATAAAGTTGATATATAATCATCCCAAGGTCATTTTCATTCTGTAAAAATGAAAATGACTCAGCTGCAGGTCAGTAATGTATTCAAAGAGTTCCCAAACGTCCCTATGCCATGACCAAACAACAAACAGCATTAGCTTCTGGGTGGAAACCCCCAATAGGCAAAATCACAGATAATGCTACAAAATAAGTTAAAAAAAACAAAAAAACAAACAGAAAAAAAAAACATCACATTGTAGAATTTTTTTCCCCTCATTTTCAATCAGTGTTCAATAATTATTACCTTAATTTAGCACAAATGCTGCCTCATGCCTTCTGATTTTAGTTGGCCATAAGTTCTTCAGTCTTTCTTGCCAGAAACGTGTCCTTTTCACACTTGCTACATTAGCCTGAGGAGCAAAGAAGCTTAATAAATTTGATTGGCAGCCAATCAGAAAGATGAGCATGTTAGATAACATTTCAAAAAATTACTCTAATTTATTGAAGTAATTTATTTTCATTTTATTTATGATTAAAACACATTTAATTTCATGGTTTAAAATATGATTCAAAATTTATGGTTAGTACATTTAATAGATTATTTATTTATTTTTTGCTTTCATCTTTACTTTAGCTTTCTCTGGCCCCCCTTACTCCACCTTGTGGCCCTCCAAGGGCCGCGGCACCCATTTTGATTCACACCATATAGGTCACATAGTGCGGCTTGCTTGGAGTAGGCTATCTTAGATCAACGTTAGTTGTTTGAACATAACTAATACTGAGGTGTATTAGTTATGTTTATATGACTAATATATAACTAATATAATCTTCAGTATCAACAGTCAGAGTCAATCTTGATGCTAACAGCTGCTAGAGGAAGAGTTAACTGGTAAGAGTTAGCCGTTGAATGATAAAAAAACAAGTTTTACGCCTGTTTTATTTTTTTATCTTAGTATTTTAATGTAAACCGCTGTAAGAGGTGGCGTTAAAACGTGAATATTAAATAAATAATATAAAACGCCGTTAATAAGCACAGAAGCGACATGACAACAACCAACCCTGATTAGCTTTAGTTAGCGGGCATGCTAAACCACTGTTAGCTCTCTGGCTAATTTTAGCATTTAATTGCCTGAAGCCATATTGACCTTAATTTTAAATGTATAAATATCGTAATTTACTTTATAACAACAGAATGTAAATTTATATTGTAGCTCTCCTGCCTTAGAAAATTACAAGTTGGTAAAAAAAAAGAAGCATAAAATATAAAAACCTACATTAGTAAGCATTAGCAGCATTAGCAGCTAAAGTAGTAGTTGAAAAGCAGTCTGAACACTGAAGGGTCATTATTTGATGAGAAATACTGTGGAAAAAATACTTTATATGAGCATTTTTAGTACTTTATAAATTCCGTACTAACTTATAGTAAATTATTTTCACTTGACTTTTTTTTTTATTTTGAAAGCAACAGATATTTTGCACAATTTGGGAGAATTGGCAGGGTTGTTATATATTTTTTAAAACTGGTCAAAATTGAGACAAATCGTTTTTCAAAATACTCTACTTATGGATACTGATGATATACCAAAAGAAAATATTAAAATCTACATTTTACTTCTTTAATAAAATCTGAACTTGTTGAAATTGAGCTGTCAACTGTTATATATTGCCCAGGATTTTTTTTTTAGCTCACCTACTCTAGGTGTATTTTCCCAGCATTAATATTTTGGACTCGGAGAAAGTTTGCTCTTTTTTTTTTTCCCCCAGAATGATGGCCATGTCTCTCGGTGACGATACACTGCTGTGCAATTACCCAAAGTGTCGGGCAAAGCTTTGCGGCTTCGCCTGGGTCACATCCTGCTCCCATGTGTTCTGTGATCAGCACGGGTCCGGTGAGTTCAGCCGCTCTCCTGCCATCTGCCCGGCGTGCTCCACTGCCCTGTCCGGGAAGCTGGACATTGTGAGGACAGAGCTGTCGCCCACTGAGGAGTATAAAGCCATGGTGCTGGCAGGTCTGCGACCAGACATAGTCCTGGACATCACTTCTCGTGCTCTTGCCTTCTGGAGCTACCAGGTCAAGTATCTCATTATTTGCACATAAAACGTGCTGTTTTCTCCCGTAAAGCAAAGCCTAAGATGTTGAATTTTGTGAGTGCAGGTCCATCAGGAACGTATGTACCAAGAATACAGTCTATCCCTCGCTGACAACCAGCTGAAGCAGATGGAGAAAGTTTTGAACCAGCAGAACCAGAGCAGAGAACTAGAACTCACTTCAATGAGGGGGGAGATCGCCTCGCTGAAGAAAGTACGCTGCAAATCTTCTAGCTGCAGCTTACTTTAAGAAACAAAGTCTTCATCACATCCTCCAATTTCTAATTGAAAAAAAAAATCACTATTTGTGTGATGCAGTTTGCACGAAATCCTGAGAGATCAATAGAGATCATAGTTTCATCTCCAACTCAGCTTTGAACTTTTGGAAATGATATGACTCTTTGGATTTTTTTTTTTTTTCTCAGGTGATGGAGGAGTACAAGAGGAAGTACAGTGAGGTGTCAGAGAGGCTCATGGAGAGGAACAGGCAGTACCAGAAACTACAGGGCTTGTACGACTCCCTGAGGCTGCGTAACATGGTGGTGGGAGCCGGGGAGCGAGACATGCCACTGCTACATGGAAATCGAGACTTGAGCATCGGTATTGCAAACACACCGTCCCGTTTTTCATGTTTTTAAACCAGGTTCCCTAAATGATAGGAAAAACTCCAAAGATATTAATTAGTCACTATATCACCAGGTCAAACTGGAATCAGAACTTCCAGACGATGTGGTTTGCTTGTGCTTTACCTGATCATAGTTTCGGATCCTTCCTGGTGTCATGCAGTGACGCCCATCAGTGTGCTGCTTCCAGACCATTAGGAGCCAATAAATTGTATTTTTTAGCCCCTTTAAAGAAACATCTATGAAAATAATACTTTACCATTAGGTGTTACAGGTGTTAATTGCCCCAAATCTTAAATAATTCTGATGATTGTGCATGATGTTAAAGCTGTGTATTTTTTGTCCATTTAAAAAGAGTAACAGAAGTAGCATGGTTTTAGCAGCTTTTGCTCTATATCTGAGCAGTTTATTTATGCCTTTAGATGCAGGCCAAGCTCTTTAAACAATAGAAGCAATAACAA